GATAATTATTGACCAAACCCCATGAAATTTGACTCAGGGATGGACAATGGGATCTTCTTTCATATTCCAAAGGCTGATCCGGATCTGATCCAGAAGACAGATTTTATCGCAATTTATATAAAAAATGGCCCTCCTTGAACCGTCACCTTATCGTGGTGGAGGGGTTTGAGTGCCCGAATGATCCCCGGGAGCTATGTTGTCGGGGGCTTCATGCCCCTGGTAGGGTCACCCAAGGCAAACAGGTCCGGGGGGACGGGTCAGACGAAGAACGGTTCAGAAGCCCCTATGATGAGTGTACCAGCAAGGCCAGTTACGTCGCCCGGATTGGCGTCACCGGGGCCTCACCCTGGAGCCAGGCCTGGGGTGGGTGCTCGCCAGCGAGCGCCTGGTGGCCGAGCCTCCCCCCACGGGGCTCGGCCGGGCTCAGCCCGAAGGAGCGACGTGGGGCCGTCCTCACGTGGGCCCACCACCCGCGGGAGGATCCATATGGGGCCGGTGCAGAGAGATCTGGGCAGCAGTCGACGGCGGGGGCCTCGGCGACCAGATCTCCGGACATGGAGACTAGCTCTGGGGACATGGAATGTCACCTCTCTGGGGGGGAAGGAGCTTGAGCTTGTGCGGGAGGTTGAGCGTTACCGACTAGATATAGTCGGCCTCACCTCCACACACAGTTCGGGCTCTGGAACCCAACTCCTTGAGAGGGGCTGGACTCTCCATTTCTCTGGCGTTGGCCGCGGGGAGCGGCGGCGGGCTGGTGTGGGCCTGCTCATTAACCCACAGCTCAGTCGCTGTGTGTTGGAGTTCACCCCGGTGAACGAGAGGGTCGCGTCCCTGCGCCTTCGGGTCGGGGACAGGTCTCTCACTGTGGTGTCGGCCTACGGGCCGAACAGCAGTGCTGAGTACCCGGCCTTCTTGGAGTCCTTGGGAGGGGTACTAGACAGTGCACCGACCGGGGACTCCGTTGTTCTCCTGGGGGACTTCAACGCCCACGTGGGCAACGACAGTGACACTTGGAGAGGGGTGATTGGGAGGAACGGCCTCCCTGATCTGAACCCGAGCGGTGTTTTGTTATTGGACTTCTGTGCTAGTCACAGTTTGTCCATAACGAACACCATGTTCGAGCACAAGGGTGCCCATAAGTGCACGTGGCACCAGGACACCCTAGGCCGGAGGTCGATGATCGACTTTGTAGTCGTGTCATCTGATCTCCGGCGGCGTGTCTTGGACACTCGGGTGAAGAGAGGGGCTGAGCTGTCAACTGATCACCACCTGGTTGTGAGTTGGGTTCGCTGGCGGAGGGGAAGCCGGAAAGACCTGGCAGGCCCAAGCATGTAGTGAGGGTTTGTTGGGAACGTCTGGCGGAGCCCTCTGTCAGAGGGACTTTCAACTCGCACCTCCGGGAGGACTTCTCCTGGATTCCGGGGGAGGCCGGAGATATGGAGTCCGAGTGGGCTTCATTCTCGGCCTCTATTGTCAATGCAGCTGCTCGGAGCTGTGGGCGTAAGGTCTGTGGTGCCTGTCGCGGCGGCAATCCCCGAACCCGGTGGTGGACACCGGAAGTAAGGGATGCTGTCAAGCTGAAGAAGGAGTCCCATCGGGCCTTGCTGGCTCGGGGGACTCCTGAGGCAGCTGACGGGTACCGGTGGGCCAAGCGTGCTGCAGCCCGTGTGGTTGCGGAGGCAAAAACTCGGAGCTGGGAGGAGTTCGGGGAGGCCATGGAGAAGGACTATCGGACGGCCTCAAAAAGATTCTGGCAAACCGTCCGGCGCCTCAGGAGGGGAAAGTAGTTCTTCACCAACACTGTTTACAGTGCGGGGGGAGAGCTGCTGACCTCGACTGGGGACGTTGTCCGGCGGTGGAAGGAATACTTTGAGGATCTCCTCAATCCCACCATCACGTCCTCCTCCGAGGAGGCCGAGGCTGGGGACTCGGAGGCGGACTCATCCATCACCCTGGCCGAAGTCACTGAGGTGGTTGGCAAGCTCCTTGGTGGCAGGGCTCCGGGGTTGGATGAGATCCGCATTGAGTACCTGAAGTCTCTGGATGTTGTGCATATTGGACTCCGCCAGGGCTGCCCTTTGTCACCGGTTCTGTTCATTGTGTTTATGGACAGAATTTCTAGGTGCAGTCAGGGGCCGGAGGGGGTCCGGTTTGGGGACCACAGGATTTCATCTCTGCTGTTTGCGGACGATGTTGTTCTGTTGGCTTCATCGAGCCAGGACCTGCAGTGTGCACTGGGGCGGTTTGCAGCCGAGTGTGAAGCGGCTGGGATGAAGATCAGCTCTTCCAAGTCCGAGGCCATGGTTCTCGACCGGAAAAAGGTGGCTTGCCCTCTCCGGGTGGGTGGAGAGTCTTTGCCTCAAGTGGAGGAGTTCAAGTATCTCGGGGTCTTGTTCACGAGTGAGGGAAGGACGGAACGTGAGATTGACAGGCGGATCGGTGCAGTTTCGGCAGTGATGCGGTCGCTGTATCGGACCGTTGTGGTGAAGAGGGAGCTGAGTCGAAAGGCGAAGCTCTCGATTTACCGGTCAGTCTTCGTTCCTACTCTCACCTATGGTCATGAGCTCTGGGTAGTGACCGAAAGGACGAGATCGCGGATACAAGCGCTCGAAATGAGTTTCCTCCGCAGCGCTCCCTTAGAGATAGGGTGAGGAGCTCAGTCACACGGGAGGAGCTCGGAGTAGAGCCGCTGCTCCTCCACGTCGAGAGGAGCCAGTTGAGGTGGCTCGGGCATCTGTTCCGGATGCCTCCTGGGCGCCTCCCTCGGGAGGTGTTCTGGGCATGTCCCACCGGGAGGAGGCCACGGGGAAGACCCAGGACACGCTGGAGGGACTATGTCTCTCGGCTGGCCTGGGAACGCCTCGCGGTCCCCCCGGAGGAGCTGGAGGACGTGTCTGGGGTGAAGGAAGTCTGGGAGTCCCTGCTTAGGCTGCTGCCCCCGCGACCCGGCCCCGGATAAGCGGACGAAAATGGATGGATGGATGTAAAAAATGGGGATAGTCCTTGGCGGAGGTCTGTGCTCTGTGAGTGCTTTTCTAGTTATTATTACTTTTTTATTATTATTTATATATATTTTTATTAATTATTATTTTTTAATTATTTAAATTTTTATTATATTTTGCATTTTAACAAGTTTTTTTTTTTGGGGGGGTATTAATTTGTCTGTGCAGCACTTTTTAAACTCATGTTTATAAAATGTGCTAAATAAAGTGAATTGGATTGGATTGAATAGGATATAGCTTTACTTAGACTTTATTGATCCACAAGGGAAACAATGAGAGATGCAACAATGAGATGATGATTGATAGGACATAAAGTTATTCGTTACATAAGGGTGAGTTTTAACAGTTTATCCCCGCATGGACTCCTCTGAAGACATGTATGCAGCTGTATATTCACCACATGAGTTATGTGGTCTTGTGTTTTATTTAATTTTATTTATGTATGTATTTATGTATATATGTATTTATTACTATTATTACTACAACCATTACTATATATATATATTTATTTATATTATATATTATTATTATTATTATTATTATTATTATTATTTATTATTATTTTTTTAGTTTATTCATTTTTGCATTTTAACACTTTTTGTTTTTATTTATGATTTACTCTTTTATTGTATTAATTTGTCTGTGCAGCGCTTTGGAAAATCATGTTTATAAAATGTGCTATTTAAATAAAGTGGATTGGATTGGACATAGCTTTACAGTTTTAGACAAACTGTATTGATCCACAAGGGAAATTATCTTGATACAGCAGCTCACGCATCACAATATAATATAATAACAAAGAGTAAAAATATAAATGGTACTAATAAATTCTAAATAAGTAGAAAAAAAAAGAGCAAGAGACACGTGTGAAATAAAACAATGTAAATGTACACATCAAAATAAAATAGAAAGATAAGTAATAAAATATAAAAATCACAGCTATATACAAGAGGTCATAGGAAGACAGTGTAACAATGAGATGATGATTGACAGGACATAAGGTTATTCATTAAATAATGGTGAGTTTTAATAGTTTCTCTCAGTGTGGACTCCTCTGAGGACATGTGTGCAGCTGTATTTAATCTTAAAAGTCCTATATTACACGAATTGTGAGCTTTAAGACTTTTTTTTCTTTTAGCTTTATTCATTTTAACACTTTTTATTTATTGTTTTTATTTATGATTTACTGTCTTTTATTGTATTAATTTGTCTGTGCAGCACTTCGGAAACTCTCATGCTTATAAAATGTGCTATATAAATAAGGTGGATTGGATATAGTTTTACCTTGAGTAACCAGATGTCCCCATTTCTCCAGGTCAGTCCCAGTTTTGAGTCCTGTGTCCCCTGTCCCAGCAGATTTATCCAAAACCAGCTATTTGTCCCAGTTTTATACAAGAAATGTCCCTATTTTTCACCAATTTGATCTAAGCAAGGTCTAAACCAGGACTAAACTAAGACTAAACCAGGAGGTCTAGACTGGGAATAAAACGGGACTATCACAGTTTTTGACTAATATGATCCTCCAACAGTAAAGAGGAGCATAAACTGTCATTTGTTTAGCCAAAATACAGAAAATCATGTTTGTGAATGACCATAAAGCAAAAAGAAGTCCCTCTGATTACGACTCACACAAGAATGCACAATGTTTTATTTTTACTTGTACTTACACATTTATACAATTATGCCTTATTTGACACTAGTCTCTTGCTTTGAATGTATTATTAGCATTCATATTATTGCGCTTTGTTATTATACTGGACTTGTGTTTTGTTTCATTCACACGTGTTTGAGTAACTCTTTATTTTTATAGGTCTGTCTACATGTCCAAAGCTCAACCCTAACCCTCTGTTCCCTGTTTGAGAGAAGAACTTGGCCTAAATATGCAGGGTTTGTGAGTTAAACGTGTGTGAATGAAACACAAAGAGGAAACAACATTATAACATACGAGTAGATCAGAAAGTAGAGTTTAAAAAAAAAAAAAAAAAAGCATGCATATACCTTGAATAAATTCTGTGGATCTGGTTCTGGAAGACTTCGGGGTCCAGCCTGTGAAGATCCCTGCAGCCAGATCAAAAACACAGACACATTAGTCCAGGGATGGGCAATTTTTAATTTTTATTTTTTCAATGGGGCCACATAAGAAACAGAAAATATTGTGGCGGGTCTGGCCAAAATGCTTAACTCAATTCTACATAATAGTAATTGCATTTCTTTATAAAAAGCAGTAAATATCATTGTTCTGATGTGGTCAGATTGGGAAGAGTTTTTGTTATGAGTAAGCCATGAAAACGTGAGGTTGTGCTCATTTCACACTAAATACTTGTTACATTTAAAGTGGAAAATGTTTTGCTCAGTGGCCTTGAGTGACTGAACCTGCAGGTGCTCCGTGATTTTCCCAGAATTATGTATGAGCTAAAAAAAAAATATAACATTTATAACTGGACTGTACAAAGGTTTTGTAGACTGAGACCCCTTAGACTTCTCTGAAACCTCGGCGAGATGATTATAGACTCTCTGACTCCTGTTTGTCACCCCGATGCTGTGAATTCTGCTGTAACACCTTTAATGATACTGTAAGAACGATCCCGTCCCTATGCGCTTGTTTTTTCATTTTTGCAAGATATAACAGAAATCAACATTGCCTTACAAAAAATGTAATTAAAAATAAAATAAATGTAAAAAATAATAAAATAAAACTATAAAATTATAAAACTAGAAAACACTCAGAAAGCGCAGACCTCCGCCAAGGACTACCCCCATTTTTTATATAAATTGCGATAAAATCAGTCTTCTGGATCAGATCTGGATCAGCCTTTGGAATATGAAAGAGGATCCCATTGTCCATCCCTGAGTCAAATTTCATGGGGTTTGGTCAATAATTAACCGAGATATTGAGAAACAAAATTTTTGGCCCCATTTACCACAATGTTGACTAAAAATTCAAAGTGATCCAGAATCCAGGATTTCTTCCGGATCACCCCCAAAATGAAATCAGTTCTTCCTTTTCACATTTCCAACAAAATAAATTAAACAAAATATAAAAGAAAAAAAAAAAAATATAAAAGAAAATAAAAATAACTTAAAAATAAAAAATATAAATAAAAACTATATATATATATATATATATATATATATATAAAATAAAAAATATATATAATCAAATATAATTATAAAAATAAAATAAAAGCAAAGCAGCCTTAGTCCATGCATGAGGTAATATTACAAAATATGTTTATTTTATAATTCCAAATGATCTTAAATGGGCCGGTTAGACTCAACCGTATGAGCTGTATGCTCGAGTGTGCCCATCATGACCCATTATGCACTAGGGCAGGGGTGTCAAACTCATTTTGGTCCGGGGGCCGTATCCAACCTACTTTGATCCCAAAGGGGCCGGATCAGAAAACTCATGGCATATAAACCCCAAAAATAACAATAAGTTCAAATATTTGTGCAGAGAAACACAAATCTATTACAGAAATCTTTTTTTAATTGATGAACTCTTTCTTTTACAAAATATTATCATCTTATGAACAACTTGAAACTTTAAGAAAAATGCAATTTCAACACAATGTTTTAACATGAACTTGTATGCAAACAGGAATAAGTAAATTTTTCTTCCTGCACTCGGCTCCACTTTTCTCATTTTTGACATTTTGTTGATGAGAGTATCACGGTCAGCAGTCAAAACGATCGTCCTTTAAGAGCGTTTGGAAAGAGACAAGTCTTCATTTGTGCTGCTCTGGTGGGAGGGGCCACGTACATAGACACTGGAGACGCTGCTGTGATAAACACCACAGAAAATTAACAAGATTTTAATAGAAAATATAATTAAAATATTTTTGTAGAAAATCACCCAAGGGCCACATTAAAGGTCTTGGAGGGCCGGATCTGGCCCCCGGGCCTTATGTTTGACACCTGTGCACTAGGGACTGGGACACGCGCACGGACAGGGACACTGATCCGTGCACACTTCAGTCACGTTATGTGCATTTTTTTCAATCACTACTTTCATAATAGTGATTTTAAAGTGGGTTTTGGTTGGAGATTACACACATCCTCACACTCATTTCTCTCATTTCCTGTCAGGTTATGTGTGTTTTAAACTCGCTCGTGCTCACGTACCCGCGCGCTGTTTTCCTGCGTCCTCGTGCCCCCCGCAGCTCCATCGCGTGCATGGTCGTCGTCAGTGGATTTTCAGGTGAAGCGCCGTTTGCAAGTTTAGGGGAAAAGAAACTAAAAACAACACCACAAAAACACAAAAACAGGCTAAATGTAGCCGCGATATTAAAATACAGTGAGTGTGGAAAGGAACTGTTCGTTTGTGAGTCTCCGGAAGCTCAACGGTTGCTAACGACCGTTGCCATGGCAATCAGATTCAGCGCTGTTGTCGTTTAACCGTAAAAAAAAAAAAAAAAAAAAAGACGTGTACGGTCTGTGTGTTTTACCCTACAAAGACAAAAGATCTCAACTCCAGAGTGAAACTGAGAAAAATTACTTCAAAGTTTCGGCTCCCAAAACTCTATAGCTAGTTGATATAATGAAGAAATATTTGTTTGTGAAAAATATTGAGTTCAAAAGCTTATTTTGTCAGTTCTTGTACTCTGCCTTTGTATCTTGAGCCAAAACATTATTATAAACACCCATCCATTATAAGAGACATCAAACTAAGGCCCGCAGGCCAACTCCTGCCCGCCACGCAGCTTTGACCGGCCCCCCGCCCCTCTACCCCCCACCACTTGAACTGGCCCTATGACGCAATCCTCAAAAGTGGTCATGGCCTGTTTTTTTTTATTTTTTATTATTATTACTTTCTGGCAAATAATCTGCATCTCGTTTTTTTTCCACTTAAGAAATTAAGTATTTATATTTAAATAATAATATAAATATTTACAATTGCTGCCCAATTTACCGCCCAGTTTTCATCACCCGACAAGCTCGAGTTAAGCATTTATGACTAACACGAGACAGTATAGTCACATTTTCTTTGTGTTTTGGTAATTTTGAAGCAGCTTTTATGTATTTTACCAAAACAAATGACAATTTATGCCTCTCTTTACTGTTGGCAGGCGTCAAACTGGTCAAAAAGAGGGACACCAGGGACATTTCTTGTATAAAACCATGACAAATCACTGGTTTTGGATAAATCTGCTGCGACAGGGGACACAGGGCTCAAAACTGGGTCTGTCTGAGTAAATGTTGATGTCTGGACACTGAAGCAAAAAGGGAACAACCATTTGAGAGTGCACAGACATGCAGCTGTCCCAACAGATTTATCCAAAACCAGTGATTTGTCCCGGGTCTATACGAGAAATGTCCCAGGTCTCCCTATTTTTGACCAGTTTGAAACCTGACAACAGTAAAGAGTGGCATAAATTATTATTTGTTTGGGTAAAATAGAGAAAAGCTGCTTAAAAATGACCAAAACACAAAGAAAATGTGATTATACTGACTCGTGTTCGTTATGAGTAAGTTTTTGAAACTGAAAATCTGGTCAGCCTATTTTAAGGAGACATTGTCACTGCTGAAATGTCATTGTTAGAGTTGTCTAATGTAAATAGTTTATTTAATGTATTTTGGATTGCAGATAAAAAGGATCTTGAGGCTAAATCTGGCACAAATTTGGCACATCTTAATATTTCTGTGCACTGTCCTTGTTTTAAATAAAATGAATAAAATAAAACAATAAATAAAGACGAGTAGCCTAGGTGACAGTCTGTCCCCTATAAAAGTTACAGTTAAAATTTCCTTTGAAACCACATTAAAAAAAAAGCACCAATTAAGTTTCAATAGCTGTACTTTTCAGATTGGCCAGAAGGTGGAGCTGTTAACACACAGCAGCTTGTATTTGCACATTTGGATTGAGCCTAATTTATTATGCTCATTATAATCAACAAAACTCTAACTCCTGTAAATGATCACAATGTTTTCTTAACCATAAATATCAGAGAGGCAGATTATTAATAAAAGTGTTCAGAAGTGTTTCCAAACTCACAGTCTTGAGCGGAGCAGGAAAATCCACGTGTTTCAGAGCAGGATGTGCCCAGGATCAAGAGTCTCTCCACGACCCAGTGCCCAAGTACATCTCAGACATGTCAGTGCCAAACGAACCATCGCACTGTCCTGCTTTAGTCCTGCTTTAGTCCTGCTTTAGTCCTGCTTTAGTCCTGCTTTAGTCCTGCTTTAGTCCTGCTTGGTTTAGCCTTTGTTTAGTCCTCGTTTAGTCCTCGTTTAATCTTGTACTAGTTCTGGTTTAATTCTGGTTTAGTCCTGGTTTAGTCCTGCCTGGTTTAGTCCTGGTTTAATTCTGGTTTAATCTTGTTTTAGTCCTGGTTTAATCCTGTTTTAGTCCTGCCTGTTTTAGTCCTGCCTGTTTTAGTCCTGCCTGGTTTAGTCCTGCCTGGTTTAGTCCTGCCTGGTTTAGTCCTGGTTTAGTCCTGCCTGGTTTAGTCCTAGTTTAGTCCTGCCTAGTTTAGTCCTGCCTGGTTTAGTCCTGCCTGGTTTAGTCCTGCCTGGTTTAGTCCTGCCTGGTTTAGTCCTGGTTTAATTCTGGTTTAGTCCTGGTTTAATCTTGTTTTAGTCCTGGTTTATTCCTGGTTTATTCCTGGTTTAGTCCTGGTTTAGTCCTGGTTTAGTCCTGGTTTAGTCCTGGTTTAGTCCTCTGGTGCCCAAAGTCAGTACTAAACATAGGGAGTCCAGGTCCAGGTCCAGGTCCCGTCCCACTTCTCTGCTTCTAAACACCGTTCCAGACAAACCAAAGTCGTTTCTGTGGAGAAAAGGATTTGACGAACCTGTGAGGATTTGGTGTTTCTGTTTGTTCCTCTTGTGTTTGCGTTTCTGTGCAGGTGTGACGGGGCGTGGCTCGAGTCACACACCTGGACCTCGACCAGACTCAGGGAAGAGTTTCGACCAGAGTTTACCAAACCTTTTTTTTCTGACTGAGTGATCGTCTCTCTGAACAATTAGTTTCACTCAAGTTTTAAACAATAAATCAATAAAATCATTACAAAAAGATTAGAAATTATTAGGGATGTAACAAAACCGAAATATCGTGATATCGTATCTTCAAAGTTCTCACAATAATATCGTGGAACATCACAATATATCGAATTACAAGTCTCTTAGCTTAAATGAAGAGTTATGGTGCAGAAATAGCTAAAAAAAAAAGACAGAGGGAACTACATAGACCATGATCCTTTGCTTCATTTCAGCGCAGACTACAAGAAGAAATAACAGTTCTAAGCACTTTTAAGTCTTAATTGTTTGGATTAAGTCTTGTCAAGGCATTTTAAGAGGAAAAAGAAGCATATTAACAGTTTTTTTCACTAAATATCGCAATAAATATCGTACCGTGAGATGTATATCGTGAAAATATTGTACAGAGTTGGATATTGTTACATCCCTAATCGTGAGCCTCCCCAACATACTGTGAACTTTAACACAATATCGCAATAAATATCGTCCCGTGAGGTTCATACCGTGATGATATTGTATCGTGAGACTTGGATATTGTTACACCCATAGAAATTACACAAAACATGTCTTAACATTTCAATTTTTCTAGTGAGATAGGTGTACCTGTTTGTGTTTTTGTATTGTGTTTAGTCCTAGTGCAGGAGGAGACGCAGCAGCAGAGCAGGTGCAACGTTCAGTCTGTTTCTGTGCTTTGTCTTTTTTGTCTTTCTTTTGTCATTTTTGTGAGCACAGGAAATCTCAATTCACACAACTGTATATGTAGTAGGGAAAGAAGTATTCATAGAGACACTGGCCCCACTGAGGACAGGAGATTCTGACGAAATACTTATTCAGAATGACGATAATGTCACAAATCCATAGCGTCTTTGCAGAGATCTCACTCGCTCTCATGTGTCAGAACTGTATATGTCAGACCTATATATCAGGCTGGCACCACCTAGTGCCTCTGCTCAATTTCAATTCTCTCCAGCGACTAGGTCAGGAATCAGAATACACTAGACCAGGGGTGGGCAAACTACGGCCCGTGGGCCGTATGCGGCCCTTTAAACCTTTTAATCCGGCCCGCCGAACTGGAATAAATTACAATAATAAACCTTGTTGTTTTATTTGTCATGCATTTCCAGCGTTTCCCAGTCGATGGCGCACTATATATACATTGAGTTGCGGCGTATTATGTTGGCCGCAATGCTTTATGGGAAAGTGTTCTTACAGGAGTTATTCGGACCATGAGTGAAGTAGTTGGTGCTTAAGATATAAGACTGCACTGCTTCTATTTTGACTTGGTAAAAATCAATCAAAGAAACCTATGATTTCTGAGTTGTAATTGTTAATGTGTACAATGTTATGAAACAGGTCTCTAACAGTTTTATGTGTTGTATTTTTCACAGCAGTGATGAAACGTGTAGCGCGTCTGAAGTCCTAGATAAATGTGAATAAGAACTTAATGAATCTGAGCTCTTAACACGTTATGTCCTATCTTCTGTCCGGCCCTTCAGTCAAACTTTAGGACCCTATGTGGCCCGCGAGCCAGAAAGTTTGCCCTCCCCTGCACTAGATGGTTTGCAAGAACCCGGAAGTGCGAGTTCGGGCACCAGCCAAACAGTGAAGAGTCAGACATTCTGTGTTGGCAATGATTCCCGAGATCGAGGATTTAAAGCTGGAACAAAGAGAATGTGTGGTGAATTTGATCAAGGGGAAAGACGTTATTGCCCTTCTTCCTACAGGATTTGGATTACATATGTCACAGCCAAATAGCAGCGATTGGTTAAATTAAAAAAGTACCCGCCTACCGTCGAGCGAACGAATTCTAACACACAGGTAAGATGGCTTCTACGAAGTGAAACCAGCTGATGAATCAGGCTAACTGAGGACAGGATATTCCGACGGAATACTTATTCAGAATGATGATAATGTCACACATCCATAGCGTCTTTGCAGAGGACTCACTCGCTCTCATGTGTCAGAACTGTATGTGTCAGACCTACATGCAGATCGTGACAAGGCAACCCAAAAAAACGTCTTGTGACCCACCTGAGGGTCGCAATCCAGTCTTTGGAAACACTGGTTTAATCTTTAATTTTATGATGTTTATTTATGTTTTGATTTGTTTTTGTCATGATTTTAATGTATTTCTTATTCTATAAAGCACTTTGAATCACTTTGTTTATGAATTGTGCTGTACAACTAAACTTGTCTTGTCAAAACCTGTAAGATAATGTAACTGTAAATGTTATGAATGTGAAAAAATACACTTGACTCACTCTGAAGTTGTTTTCTGTAAAGTGCCAGTGAAAGTTATCCTAAACTTTTTCTCAAACTGTGGGTCAAGGTCCAAAAAAGATTGATATACTGTATATGTGCCAAAATAACTGTACAATACAAATAAAGGTAAGAAATGACAAAGATGGTCTCAGTTTGGTCTCCATGGGCCGTGGTCTCGGTCTTGACCTTTAAAAGTCTTCATCTTGTCTCGGCCTCGGCTCTCAGAGGTCTTGGTCTTGTCCTGGTCTCGGGACCCTGTGGTCTCGGACTGGTCTTGGTCTCGATTAGTGCGGTCTTGACTACAACACTACTCACTAATTCTGAGATGCTTAATTCTAGTCTAGAGGTCGTTTATTTTAAGATAACTTGTCAATTAAAATGATCTTGCTGCATGAACAGATAATTTCACTACTTTTAAGTCATTTTCTGATAGATTTAAGTGTTTCTATCTTAAATTCTGGCCAAGCCTTTTCCCAGTGTAACATTTGTGTCCGTGCGCGTACATGCATGTTCATGATATGTTTGGGTTTCAGAACACTCTGGTCTCTTCACAGGTGGATCCAAATGAATGAACACTGTACACAAACACACCGCCCGCCCGGTCTTGGCCTCAAAACGGCAGCTTTACATAATCACTCGGATGCTTCATAAAAATCATCTGTTCTAAACATAACCCGGGTACTTTTCTGAGACCTAAAATCAACAATTTGCTTTGATAGAAGTGATATTGTGCAGTCAGAAGCCTCAGAATAATATCATGGATCATCACAATATAGAAAAAAATGAAAAAAGAACTACATAAACCATGATCCTTTGCTTCATTTCAGAGCAGAATATATGAAGAAGTGATGATGCCCACAGACGTGTGTTGTGGACACAGATGTAATGGTTCATATAAAGAACATGGCTGTTTTGACACTTGCTGTGACAGGCATGAGTCCTGTCTCCTCTCCTCTGTCTTTCCACTCATTTTCCTCTGTTTCCTCTCTTTCTGTCTCTCTCTTTCCTCTCTCCTGTCTCTGCTGTCTTTCCTCTCTCTCCTCTGTCTTCTCTCTCTTTCCTTTGTCTCCTCTCTCTCCTCTCTATCTCCTGTCTTTACTCTCTTTCCTTTGTCTTCTCTCTTTCCTCTCTCTCTCTCTTTCTCCTGTCTTTTCTCTCTCTCCTCTGTCTTCTCTCTTTCCTCTGTCTTCTCTTTCCTGTCTCCACTCTCTCTCTCTACTGTCTTCCCTTTCTCTCTCCTCTCTCCCCTCTGTCTTCTCTCTCTCTCTCCTGTCTTTCCTCTCTCTCTCTGCTGTCTCTCTCTCTCCTGTCTTTCCTCTCTCTCTTCTCTGTCTTCTGTCTCTCTCTCACCTGTTTTTCCTCTCTCTTCTCTCCCTCCTCTGTCTCCCCCCTCTCTTCTCCCTCCTCTGTCTCCTCTCTCTCTTTCTCTCTCTCAGATTCCTGTCTTTCCTTTCTCTCTCATCTGTCCTCTCTTTTCTCTCTCTTCTCTCCTCTGTCTCCTCTCTCTCATTCTTTTTCCTGTCTCTCCTCTTTCTTTCTCCTCTATTCTCTCTCTTCTCTGTCTTCTTTCTCTTCTCTCTCTCTTCTTTCTTCTCTCTCTCTTCTCTCTCCAAAAGTCTCTGTCAAAAGTCTCACAATAAAACCTTGGCCTGTCACAATATATCGAACCACAAGTTCTTTTGCTTAAATGCATTTTTCCTCGTAGCTAATAAACATCGGGAACTACATATCCCATGATTCATTTCAGCGCAGACAACATGAAGTTATATGTTTTTTTACCTGTCCCATTTCATCCATTTTTAATATTTGTATACAAACAACAGTACATGTGTGACGGGAGGTCATCAGATGTCATCGTCTCAGCACCATCACGGGCTTCAGCTTCAGTTCAGGGCACACTCGCACTTGTTTTATCACAAAGACACAGAACGCTGCCGCCGTACAAAGCTCAGAATGTCCAAAAGATTCTCCATAAAAACATGTCGGAGGAGCAGCTCCAAACGGCCGCCGTGTTGGATGTTAATGTTAAATGTTAAATCATAAAAACAAATCGGTAAAAATACGGCTCCTTTAAGTTTTATTCTGTTCTCGCTGCATTCCTTTAAAGTCTAAACGTCTAACTTCCGTCTTTTAGGACAACATTAGGATGACATGAGCCTCTATGATTGACACGTGTCACTGCTACATGAAAAAACTGAACTCGACGTAAATGTGAAGCCATAAGTTTTACCACAAAATCTCAAACTACCCTTTTAACATTCAAAAATATATACAATTGTGCTGTATTTATTTGTATTTTTAGCCATGTTAAATTAAAAATACTTCATTCCCAAACCCTTAATCCATATACAAGGTGTAATTTACAAATCAGTGTGAATAAATGTGTTATAAAAGTCTTAAAAAATGAAATCCTAATATGCTTCATAACAGTGAAAAGTGAAATGTCCATTCAGCTTTAGAAAATGGAGTCCGCTAAACCTACGGCTCAGTTGGTCTTCGTCAAAACACAAAATAATTCTCCCCCTTGTGTTTGTGAAGATGAAGAGGAGGAGGAGATGGAGGGGCTCAGAGGAAGCTGTCCTCTGTAGCGACGAAGGAGAAGCCGTTGAAGGCGTTGTTGGCGCTGGTTCCGGCGCTCAGTTCCGGGGTCCGACTCACGGAGTTTGGGACCATTTCTCTGGTGAACTCTGGGTCGATGTGCTGCGTGTCTGCAGGGCCCCGCTGGAACATAACAGCACAAATCAGACCTGGACTGATTCAACGTGTTACAGATGGCATGTTTATAATCTATTTAACAAGGGTGGAACGGTACAAAAATCATGTTTCAATACGTACATCAGTTTTGAGGTCACGCTTCGGTTTATTTTCGGTTCAGTTTGGGAACAAAATTCAAAACCGTTTGCTTGATGTTTATTTGTGTTTTTATTAAACCAACAATTATAACATAACAATAACATTATACAAATGGGAAAATAAAATAAGTGCAAACTGCTGCTTGGTAATACTAATAAGTTAAATAAAATATTCTCAAATAAGCAACAAATGTTTGAAAAAAATTATGAAAAATAAATTCCTTGTAAACAGTAAACAAAACTTTTCAAAAAGTAAAGTGCAACACTAACAGTTCCAGGATGAAGTTTTACTCAATATTCATATTTTTGGACATAAAACACAACTTGGGGGGGATTCTGTGTCGGCAAAAGGCAAAAGTGAGGACCGGGGTGCAATGATTGTGGTTTGAAGGGATGTAGTCGGGGGTTGGGCAATTGTTGTCAAGGCAGTTGCACTAACTATAAAGCACTGCAGGAAACACTGCCCCAATCCAAATCCAAAGTTTCCTTGTGAATATTAAACAGTCGAGCCTCTGTGTAACTGCACATGTCGTGGTGGAATGTAAACACACACAAATTCCGTGAACTCACTCGTGCACAGCCCTGCACTGAACTGAACGTCCTGTACTGAAACAGTTTGGCACGAATGTACCGTTACACCCCTAGTATTTGATGTAATTTAATGTAAATGTAAGTAATTAAGTAAGTAAGAAAGACTTTATTTATAGAGCACCTTTCACAGATTAAAAAAATCTGAAAGTTCTTTACAAAGTGCAATAAACAACTTGTACAAGAACAAAGGAAATACAGACACAGTCAACATAAACCTTGTCTAAATCGTCGTGTCTTGAGTTGCTTTTCAAAACAGTCAATAGAGTCTGGCTCATCGAGGGCGAGGGGAAGGGCTTTCCATAATTTGGGGGCCACAGCATGAAAGGACAGGCTGGTTTAGTCCCGGTCTAGTACCTGTATAGTCCCATTTTCTTTGTGTTTTGGTAATTTTTAAGCAGCTTTTATGTATTTTACCTCAACAAATTACAGTTTATGCCTCTCTTTAGTGTTGGCAGAGATCAATATGGTCAAAAATAGGGACACCTGGGACTTTTCTTGTATAAAACTAGGTCAAATCACTGGTTTTGTATAAATCTGCAGGGGACAGGAGACACTGGGCTCAAAACTGTGACTGTCCCCGGGAAATACAGAGAAACAGAGCTTTTTTTCACTAGTATTATCATTAGGGATGCACCGATACGATACTAGTACTCAGTGTCGAGGGTGATACTAAAATTTTTGTAGCATTTACGGACCAAACCCCCCAAATGACAGGTTCTAAACTCACCACGTTGGGGTTGTAGGGAGGAGTGATTCTCTTGTGGTAAAGGTCGTCCCAGTTGATTGGAGAGAAGAATGTGTGGTTCTTGATTTCCAACTGTAACAAAATGCAAAATTTTCGTGATATTAGTAGGAGTTACTTCTGTCGCTTCAGTGGGCAATAGAGCTAAGCAAGATTCCTTCAAGGACAGAGGGAAAGGAGAAAGAAGAAAAACATGTGCAGAAAGTCCTCTATGTTTGTGGATATCCAAAATGGGCTTTCAATAAAACAAAGAGAGCTAAAAAACTGGACAACAGAGAATCAGAACCCAGGAGAAAGCAGGTAACTATTCCTTACAGGACCGGTGTTTCTGAAAAACAACTGAGGATTTTCAGACAACATGTATATTTCAAACCTACAAACACTTTAAGACAGAAACTGGTCCACCCCAAAAAAAAGACAAAACACCGAGCCACAAACAAAGCAATGTGGTCTAGTCCATTCTGTGCAGTGAAGACTGCAGTGAACGCTACACTGAAGAAACGAAACAGCCGCTTCATAAGAGGATGTACCAACACAGACGAGAGAGCAACACAGGACCTCAGTCTTCTGTCATCTCTACCTAAAAAGCCATGGGCCACTCATTTGAGGACAGTGAGGTACAGATCTTAGCCAGAGAACAGAGTTGTTTGAGAGTTAAAGAAGCTATTGTTAGGAAAGACAATCCATCTTTGAAGAGAAATGGGGGACTCCATCTATCTCCTATTTACAACTCCATCCTCAAACCTAAATCCAAACAAACAAAGATAACAAAAGGGATGGCCATGTCATGTTCAGAGGTGTGAAAGCTCCATTATGGCCCTGAATAGTTAAGCTAGTATGACCCCACACTCAGTGCAAGATGAATAGGCTTAACTAACTCAGAGAAACTGTAAACAAGTGGGTGTGTTACAAGTAGTTTCATTATAGTTAGCTCCTCCTTGCAGGCAGATATAAGGAAGTGTCCACCAGCGTTCCGACCAGAACTGAACAATCCAAGCTGTAAATATCCCATGTACATATCTGTAGTGAAGAGTGAGTTGCTTTCAGTCTCAGTGTACATGGGTATTGTTGTAAGTTCATCAGTGCAGGCTGTGGCTGTATGTGTGCCTACAATGATACTTCAGTTTCTGCACTGCTGATGCTAAAATTATTGTCTTCTGTTTTTTATTTTTTGTATATAAATTGTAAATAGTATAAATATTTCTAGCTGTGGTAAATCAATACACCACTTGAAAACAGAGTGAACATCTGCTCTGTTCAAAAGATTTCATTCAACAATTTTAATCAAAAAACTTTTTCTTTTCTTTTATTGGGTCACATGGTGGGTCAGGTGAGTGGAGTGGATAGTTCAGATGGAAGGATGGACAGATGAATGGACAGAAATCAGATGAAAGGATAGATAGATAAACAGACAAATACAAAGGCACAAGAAAGGGCATTAAAGCTGCTTAGATTCATGCTGGTGTCCGTCTTCACTCTCTGATCGGAGTGTTGTTTGGGATTAAGTGTCCCAGTACATTGCATCACATTCTCAGTCCTAAATCTCTCCAACAGGTGTAGTGTAAATTGTACATGTGTATAGTGATAATAAAAGGCATTCTGTTCTTTTCTATTTTTGTTATGAAACATCACTATTCCAACCATAACAACTACTACAACAACAACTACTACTGCTACTATTACTACAACTATTACTACAACTAAATGTATTCTTCTTTTGTGGCTGCCTGATTCACACACGGAGCAGGTTTTAGACTATGTTTACACTGAAAGAAATCACCGTATCACTGATAGATTGATTGCATTTATATAGTGCCTTTCAAGATACCCAAAGCACTTTACAGTTCATTATTCAGTCACTACACACTCAGTGGTGGTAAGATACAAGTGTAGCCACAGCTGCCCTGGGGCAGACTGACGGAAGCGAGGCTGCCAATCTGCGCCATCGGCCCCTCCGACCACCACCATCACTCATGCTCACACCATTCATACTTCATACTAGGCAATGTGGGTGAAGTGTCTTGCCTAAGGACACAACGACAGTTTTTTTTGTTGCCACTGGCACCCCACTGTGGCACCTGGAATTCCTAGCGGTTTCCCATCCAAGTACTACCCAGGCCCAGCCTGTTTAGCTTCTGAGATCTGATGGGATCAGGCTTTGACAAGCTAGTATGGCCACTGTATCACCATATCATCATATCGGAAACAATCTGCATCCAGACACGTCGTTTCTATGTCCGCAAGTCTTCCCTATCCACACAGCTTCGAGCACATTTGTTTACATTTTACAGAAACGAAACTTGAAACCACATGGCTCATTTGCATAAACTCAAAAAGTGCTCAAAAAACAGCTCACTATTGTGCACTGATGTGGTTCAGCTTCTGTCAGATTAAAAAGTATGAGTATTCTTTCTGTGACAGAGGGGTGTTCTGCTGATGGTGAGTCTGTTCTGTGTTTCTATCATGTTGGAGATGGTTCATGTTAAACTTTTCAGAGATTATACATTTTTGAGTGTGACTCACAAAGTCTGCGATGGCGCCGAGTCTGCGGTGCTGGTCCTTTTGCAGGAGCCCGGTGAGCAGGGAGCACACGGCGTCAGACTTTCCCGCGGGCAGAGGCAGAGGCTTGTGGAGGATGCCGTCGTACATCTCTGCCACGTCCCGATTGTAGAAGGGCGGCTGGGGGCAAACGACACACACAGGGGTAAACTGAGGTTCTCTGAGTCACAGTCACTCGTTTCAAGAACAGATTTTGATTTTGATTCCAAAATAAACTTTACACCCAGCTGTTCTACAATCTATGGATTTAAAAAATAAAATAAATATATTATTTATTTATATAAAAAATATCCCAAAATAAACTTTGTTTGTTTGTATAAATTGTTTCAACTCGATTATATGAGTTTGGAAATCGTTTGACACACAAATCGAAATCGTGATCAAAATTCGATTAATTGCACAGCCTTAACATGACATATTATGTTATATATTATATAAATATTTAGTATTAAACCACACGTAGATCATCATTACATAATTACATTTAGTTCATTGTAACAGTGATTGACAGTGGCCGGGCTCTCCCTGTATAAATACAGATAAATGAATAATAGAAACAGGTCCACTGACTTCCAGTTCAAACATGTTTAATACAACTTCAGAGTAAGATAATGATCGGAGAAAACCATTCCAAACCAGACCACCGTCTCTCTCTCTCTCTGTCTCTTTGTCTCTCTCTGTCTCTTTGTCTCTCTCTCTCTCTGTCTCTTTCCCACTATGTCTCTTTTTCTCCATTTCTCTCTCTGTGTCTCTTTTTCTTCCTTTCTCTCTCTCTCTCACTCTCTCTCTTCTCTCTCACTCTCTCTCTTCTCTTTCTTTTTCTCTCTGTCTCTCTCTCTCTTTCTCTTTCTCTGTCTCTCTCTCACTGGCTTTCTCTCTCTCTCTGTCTCTTTTTCTCCCTTTCTCTCTCTCTTTAAATGTCTAAATCTAAGTCTAAATCAGCGAAACCTGACTCAAACCTACTTTTTGAAGCACAGACCTAATTTGACCTCACATGGACTTTCTTTTGTTCCAGACTCGAGTAGTTACAGTAGTAGGTTTAGTCCTGTTTTAAAAGAATTTCACAGCAGAGTGGACATCGGCAAACTGAAAATCACTAACCAGGCTGTAGATCATCTCATAGAGCACAGCCCCGAGGCACCACCAGTCCACCGTGCGGTCATACGGCTCTTTCCTCAACACCTCAGGAGCCAAATACTGCAACAATAAATGAAGAATAGCTTAATAATACATATAAATTATACACTGTTCAAAAAGGGACGACAAAAGTTAAAGTGAAAGATAGTGAGGTGTGTGGAGAGACGGTGGTGGTGGTGGACTCACTTCGGGGGTGCCGCAGAAGGTGGAGGTGGTTCCTTCAGGTTCCACTCCCTCTTTGCACAAACCGAAGTCTGTGAGCACCACATGACCCTGAGCAAACAAAGAGCCTTTTACATCTGAAGTTACACCCAGCGCCGTCTCTGCCTCTCTATTCATCTCTCTCTCTCTCTCTTTCTCTGTCTGTTTCTCTCTCTATATCTCTCTCTCTTTCTGTCTCTTTCTCTCTGTCTCTCTATCTCTTTTTCTCTCTCTCTGCCTCACTATTCATATCTCTCTCTCTCTCTTTCTCTGTCTGTTTCTCTCTTTGTTTCTCTCTCTCTTTCTGTCTCTTTGTCCCTGTCTCTCTATCTCCTTTTCTCTCTCTCTGCCTCTCTATTCATCTCTCTCTCTCTCCTCTGTCTGTTTCTCTCTCTTTGTTTCTCTCTATATATCTCTCTCTTTCTGTCTCTTTCTTTCTGTCTCTCTATCTCTTTTTCTCTCTCTCTGCCTCTCTATTCATATCTCTCTCTCTCTCTGTCTGTTTCTCTCTCTTTGTTTCTCTCTCTCTTTCTGTCTCCTTCTCTCTGTCTCTCTATCTCTTTTTCTCTCTCTCTGCCTCTCTATTCATATATCTCTCTCTCTCTTTTTCCATCTGTTCCTCTCTCTTTGTTTCTCTCTCTTTATGTCTCTGTCTCTTTCTCCATCTGTTTCTCTCTCTCTGTCTCTCTCTCTATTTCTCTCTCCCCCCGTCTCTCTCTCGCTTTCTCTCACTCTTCCTGTCTCTCTGTCTGTCTCTGTTTCTTTCTCTCTGCCTGTTTCTCTCTCTTTCTGTGTCTTTCTCTGTATGTCTCTTTCACCATCTCTCTCTTTGTCTTTTTCTCTCTTTCTCATCTGTTTTTCTTTCACTCTCTCTCTCTTTCTCCATCTGTTTCTCAATCTTTCTCTCCCCCTCTCCCTATCTCTCTCTCACCCCCTCTCTCTCTTTTTCCATCTATTTCTCCCTCTCTCTCTACCCCTCTCCCTGTGTCTCTCTCTCTGCCTCTTTCTCTCTCTTTCTGTCTCTCTCTTTGGCTGTCTATTTCTCTCTCTGTCTCTTTCACCTTCTCTCTCTCTCTGTCTTTTTCTCTCTCTCTGCCTCTTTTTTTCATCAGTTTCTCTCTCTCTCTGTCTATTTCTCTCTTTCTGTCTTTTTCTCCATCTGTTTCTCCCTTTGTCTCTCCCTCTCTCCCTGTCTCTCTCTCTTCCTCTCTCTTTCTCTCTGTGTGTCTTTCTCTCTCTGCACACTCATCGACAGTGGCGTTTATAAAAGTCCCACTTAGTTGCCTCAGTTTGTTTCAGCCCTAGTTTTGGAAAAAAAAAAAAAAAACACTGAATAAAACAAAACTGCCAAACTGAGTGAAGTAAAGGACCTTGTTACAAATAAATATGATCAGAATTGTCATATTTGTTGTATTATTTTACGCAGATAGTGTCACGTCTCTCACCTGTGAGTCCAGAAGGATGTTTTCTGGCTTCAGGTCTCTACAGTAAAAACCACAGCTCAGTTATTTCAGATTTACAGACGTGGTAACGCTTAAGTCACAGGTGTCAAGCATGCGGCCCGGGGGCCAGATCCAGTCCTCCAAGACCTTTAATCTGGCCTTCGGCTGATTTTCTACTAAAATATTTTAATTCTATTTTTTATTAAAATCTTGTTACTTTTCTGTGGTGTTTATCACAGCAGCGTCTCTGTACGTGGCCCCTCCCACCAGAGCAGCACAAATGAAGAATTGTCTCTTTCCAAACGCTCTTAAAGGACGATCGTTTTAACTGTTGACTGTGACACCCTCATCAGAAAAATGTCCAAAATGAGAAAAGTGGAGCCGAGTGCAGAATTTTACAACAAAAATTTACTTATTCCTATTTCTACAAGTTAATTTTAAACAAGTTCATGTTAAAACATTGTGTTGAAACAGCATTTTTCTTAAAGTTTCAGGTTGTTCATAATATTATAATATTTTGTAAAAGAAAGAGTTCATCAATTAAAAAAGATTTCTGTAATAGATTTGTATTTCTCTGCACAAATATTTGAACTTATTGTTATTTTTGGGGTTTATATGACATGAGTTTTCTGATCCGGCCCCTTGGGGATCAAAGTCGGTTGGATACGGCCCCCAAACGACCAAACGACCAAAATGAGTTTGACACCCCTGGCTTAAGTGAATGTTCAGAGAGTTTTTATACGGACCTGTAAACAATGTTGAGAGAGTGCAGGTAGCCTATCGCACTGGCCACCTCCGCCGCGTAGAATCTGGCCCTAGACTCAGAGAAGCACCTCTCCCTCTGCAGGTGGAAGAACAACTAAAAAACAAAGACAGAAATCAAATCAAACTTTTGGAAAAGTCACAACAGTAGGAACGTAATGAACAAGGCTGGGTATTATTAAGAAGATGCCGATACGATACATAAGCCATGAGACGATACATACCTCGATACAGTGAGCTTTCTATTTGATACGATACGATATTAAGTGCACAAAGTTTTATGCAGAGTCTTTATGTAACAGGTTGGCCAAAACAAAATATTGATCTTTGCCGAAACGCTAAAAAGTGTAAATATCGGCCTATTGATGTATCGGTTTAGCTCTATTCCTTTGTTCAACTCAGCAATAATTCCTTTTATTTTCAACTTTTTTCCTATAACCTATTTTATTCATATATATCTCTCTGTCTCTTCCTCTCTCTCTCTCTGTCTGTCTCTCTCTCTCTCTCTCTCTTATTCTCTCTCTGTCCCTGTCTCTCTCTTTCTCTCTCTCACTGTCTCTCTCTCTCTCTTTCTCTCTCACTCTCCCTGTCTCTCTTCCTGTCTTTCTTTCTCTGTCTCTTCCTCTCTCTCTCTGTCTCTTTCTCTCCCTGTCTCTCTCTCTCTTACACTCTCTGTCTCTCTCTTATTCGCTCTCTGTCCCTGTCTCTCTCTTTCTCTCTCAGTGTCTTTCTCTCTGTCTCTTTCTCTCCCTGTCTCTCTCTCTCTTTGTCTGTCTCTTTCTATCGCTCTCTCTTCCTCTCTCTCTGTCTCTTTCTCTCCCTGTCTCTGTCTTTCACTCTCTGTGTCTCTCGCTCTTTCTCTCTGTCCCTCGCTGTCTCTCTCTCTCCTATTCTCTGTCCCTGTCTCTCTTACTGTCTTTCTCTCTCTCCTTGTCTCTTCCTCTCTCTTCTGTCTTTTCAGAACAGTTTTCCTGGTCTAAACTACACAGAGACCAGGTTTATTTTTACATAACAATACTAGAAATGTTATTTTGTTTTGAAAGCAAATAATCTCACTGCCAACACTTTTACATTAATACTGTGGTGTGTATAACTTTTCACACATCTGATTTTTGTGTGTGTGTGTGTGTGTGTGATAAAAGACTTTTGTGTTACCTCTCCTCCGTTCACATAATCCAGGACAAAGTAGAGTTTTTCTGGAGTTTGAAACGAGTAATGAAGCCGAACGAGGAACGGGTGTTTGAGGCTCTTCAGCAGGACATTCCTCTCCGCCATGATGTTCTTTTGCTGAAACATACGAAGACAAAACACGATGACATTTTACTAATGACGTGTATTACTTTTAATAGATAACGGAAATTAATGTTCAACAAGAAGACAATTATTTCTGATAATGGACTAATCATGAGTACAGATATTGCATAACGTGTAAAGCAATAAATGTGAAAATCATGATGACCCTTGACGTTGTATTAAAGAGTAACTAAAGTCGCATTGTTTGAGCAGGTGACTCCGAGTATTATTCCCGTGATTCTGATTTAGTAAGAGAAGAGTTAACTCAGGACAAACAGATGAGGAGGTTTGGTTTTCAGCTCAGTATTGATATTAATTAAATTCTCTCCCTAACTCAGATTGAATTTAACTGTAATTCACTGACGATATCTGTCTTCTAATGTTATTGATTTGTCTGGAATGTTTCACAGTATGGCGTTAAACCTTTCTATCTCCATAGAGACCAAACCACACCAAGTTACAAGTCAGATCTGTGGAGAGGCGACCCCGCTCATAGTCAGATTGCATTTTTCTACGTATTTTTGAGCAATAAAACCACTTGTAACTGAATAAATGTAAAGTAGAGTGGTTTAATGTCAGACTGTGGAACATTTCAGGCAGAACAATGACATGTCCATAGAAACAAGCAGGTGACGGACCCTATATCAGAAAAGTTACACAGTGCACCTTTAAGTATTGGCCAATAACTGATATGAACCGATACCTCTAGGGCTGGGTATCATTCAGAAGTTGCGGATACGATACACACCTCGATACACAAGGTACAATACAATACACACCTCGATATAGCGCACTTTCAATTCAATACGATATATATTTCAAATCGATTCAATACGGTTCAATAAAAATAAAGGCTAAATCATGGCTGTGATACTAAAAGTCTTTGTTAAACCACTTCTTGTGCAAAGTTCATATGAAACACAAACATTTTAATCATCAAAACAGTGAAAATATCGAAAGTGTCACATAAACAAGTTTCCTTCCACTAAACAAAGAACAAAACTGTAACTGTAACAAAATAATTTTGTAAAATATATTATGATATTATTATTATAATATATATTACAATATATACAATGCTCAATTCAGATTTTTTTTTACGTGTTCACATTTCCAGTTAAATGTGACTTGTGTGTGATTTCCAGTGTGAACTTTAAACACCTCAAAAGTGTCTGGCATGAGATCACGGAAGTTGCCTAAACATGGATGCAAGCACTGAGCACCCGGAGATTTTAAAGTTTCTGTCGTATCGGAGCCAGAATGTGTACAGTTTATTTGTTTTAAGGAGGAGATTTCTTCCAGTTTCCGCCTACTTCAGTGTTAGAATACTTGAGCACAGAATACTGACGCTTGTGGCTTGTTGATAACGTGTAGGTGGGATAAATGCGCTTTGGCTGTTCAGAGTGAAGTTGCATGTCAAAAGATTGGATATGTATCGGTTTTAGGAGCACGTATCCAAGTGGCCTGGGTCGCATTTGAAAAAAATCTTATCTGTGTTGTTCAGACTGTTATTAAAAGATCAGAGACAGGAGCATAGGGGCCAAAAAATCTGATTTGGGTCACTTCAAGCTGCAGTGTAAACGAAGCCTTAGATTATTTTGAGAAAATAGTGGACTCTAACACACAGGGACACACAGGGAGGGCATCTGACACACTGGGACATTTCAGATCAGGTTTATAGCGATCTAAACCAGAGATCAGCACCAGGTCGGGTACCTGCGGGTAGGTCTAAACCAGGTCTAAACCAGGACTGATCTTGGACTTGTGAGAGAGAGAGAGAGAGGGAGAACCCCGAGTCTGTGGAGCAGGGTGTCCACAAAGCACGATCGGGCGACGGCTACGTTTGGCTCCGTGGTCACCCAATGGTCGACGTTGTCCCAACACTCAGTCCTGGTTCAGCTCTGATTTTGTCCGGGTTTAGTCCTGGTTCAATCCTGGTTTAGTCCTCCTGATTCAGTTCTGGGCTCAGTCCTAGGTTAGTCCTGGTTTAGTCCATAAGTCCTGTGAAGTGATGACGTATTTCTGACAGTAAAGTCATGTCTGTGAATTTGTATTTGTACTGAAGAAAACTTAACCTTTTCATTGCATTTTGTGACTATAATTCTTGATGTTGTACCTTTTCAATTCGTATTCTGATGGATAAAATACACACAACACATTTTATGTATAACTGGACTCATTCAAGAGTTTACGAATATTTATTTTATGCTCAACTACAGAAAATATGTACGGATTTCTATCCTACGTACACAAATATATTTCTGAAAGTTTTCTTACTCCGTACAAATTGCCTATTCAAACCACCTGTTCAATCCTGATTTAGTGTCACGTTGTTCATTGAGAGGCACATCGAAAAAAATTAAGTGCTCTGGTCTAAACTACAGGGTTATCAGGATTTACTCAGAATAAAACCCCACGGAGACACAGTGAGGGCATCTGACACACTGGGACACTTCAGAACATGTTTGTACAGATCTAAACTACAGGATTATCAGATGTCAGCACATCAAGATTACTCTAATTATCTGCGAAGAAGAAAAGCTTCAAATTGCGATTTCAAAACTGACACCTGACGTAAATCCAAAATGTGAAAAGTGGGCGAGGTGTTTATTTTTCCAGCCCAAACGGCGGTGTCGGATAATGTGGTGTGATTACAGAGAGGTGGAGTTATAAAACTTGTCCTTTGAACAGAACAGGCTGCAGATTAGATAAGAGCCACACTCCTTGTTTACTAAAAACACACTCAAAAGAATCCGCCGTCATTTCATGGACAATTAAGCCTCCTCATGTCATTTCAAGTTAAACCTATACATCATCACCATATATGGGCTCAACTTCCTGTTATATGCAGCCTTTTTAGAACTTTTAATATTTAGTAGGGCTGCAAGATTAATCGGAATCAAATTGTGATTTTTATTTATGCAATTAACAAATCTCAAAGGCTGCAATTTTTGAAGTGTCTTTTGTCAAGTCCGATTATTAAAACATAAATTGTAAATCTAAATTGCGATTCTTGCCAGAAAATTTTGAAGTAAATATTTTCCCCCTTATCGTTCAGTTTAAATATTTTGTTTTTAATTGTTTATGTAACAGATAATACTCCCTACAACTGTAAAACAACTCACCCTTATGCAACAGATAATACTCCCTACAACTGTGCAACAACTCACCCTTATGTAACAGATAATACTCCCTACAACTGTACAACTCATCCTTATGTAACAAATAATACGCCCTACAACTGTACAACTCATCCTTATGTAACAAATAATACTCCCTACAACTGTACAACTCATCCTTATGTAACAAATAATACTCCCTACAACTGTGCAACAACCTGCCCTTATGTAACAGATAATACTCCCTACAACTGTGCAACAATCTGCCCTTATGTAACAGATAATACTCCCTACAACTGTGCAACAACCCGCCCTTATGTAACAGATAATACTCCCTACAACTGTAACAGATAACTCTATGTCCTATGACCGCTTGTAAATATTTTATATTTTATTACTTATTTTTCAATTTTATTTTGACTTGTACATTTACTGGCACAGTAAGTCTTTTTTGCTACTTATTTAGAATTTATTATTACTATTTATAAAAACTCTTTGTTATTATATTATTTTGTGATGTGTGAACTGCTGCATCCAAATAATTTCCCTTGTGGATCAATAAAGTTTGTCTAAATCTAAGTCTAAGTTAATCACTATGGAAACAGAGGGCCACAAATATAAACATATTAAAAATAAAATAAGTCAGAAATTTTTAAATGTTCGGTCATAAGGATTTAAAGTAGCAACTTAAAATACAATTAATAAGGGAAATATAGGTATTCATAAATCCACTATTTATAGTGTATGTATATATATATATATATATATATATATATATATATATATATATATATATATATATATATATATATATATATATATATATAATAGGAATAGTGCCTTTAAAATTATGCTTTGAGATTGTAATAAATACTAAAAAATGATGATGGTGAAAATAATATTAGTTTAAGTATAGGGAATTTTTTTATTTTATTTATGTGTGCTTAAGTTGCTCTACCACATTACTTTTGTTTAATTTAACTAAATTCGTGTCTGTGTTTTGTTTTGTTTTTTTGTATTTGTTGTGGGTGTTGCTTTATGTTTCTGTGATTTGTTTCATGTTGATTATTGTAATTTTTATTGTATTTTGTTAAATGTTATATTCTGTTGTCTGTAATAAAAAAATAAAAGAAAGAACTGCTTACTATTGCGAGCTGATTGTGCCCAGCAGTGTTATTTTATTTACATTAAATAAAGAACTAAAGTGAAACAGTGACGACGCAACAAGAGCAAGGTTATAAACATGAAGATTTATGAAGTTTGCAGTAGAAAGTTGTCAGCTGCTCAAAAAAATGTTGTCAGAAAATGGCTTGGTAAAAGATTTGGTTACATTTACTCACACAACTAAGCCAGAACTAAACTAAAGAGATTTACCTCTTTGTGGTATTAACTTTTAACTCATAAGAACTTTAGATTGGGTTCAGTTTCATCCCCTCTCCCTTTGCTATTCATGCTGAGTCACTCCCCCTTCGGAGCGATATCACAACACAATCAGCACACGTCCTGCTAATGAAACTACCGGTCAGGTTTGCCAAGTTTGAGAGATCAGTAGATTACTCAAACGTGCGTGGATGGACATCTAAAACCTCTTGGAGCATGTTTTTGATGACGGAGCAACATAATGACATGGGAGAAAGCTCCAAAAAGCAAATTTGACGTAATACCTCCTCTTTAAAGACACACTAAAGAAAATAAACTGGACCAAAAAAAGTAAAATAATGAATCAGTGACAAAATTCGCAACTGAAAGATAAAAACACGTCAAAATGCAGACCTGTTTTAACTTGCTCTGTGGACATTTTAGTTAGTACATAATACATTTGTCAAGTAGATATTGGTTACTCATTGTTAAAAAACATTGTGTAACTTTTCTGGG